TTCTTGATTTAATCAAGATCTTAAACTTCTTAAACTTTACTCAGTTGTGGTCTTAAAACCTTACCTCTCGGCATTCTAAAACTACCAACTTCATAACTTGCACAGTATAACCATTAATAAATAGCTATACCAACTTTAATGAATTTGTTAATTTTCCGAAAACACCTAGCTTGTGCAAGAGTTCCGATTAATCTATTTTTCTTGCTTCTTCTCTCCATTTCTTATTTATGGCTTTAAACTCATCATTTATCTTTGAGGACAAATACTTCCTCCAACAAGATAAAAACATATTAGTCTTTATTTTATTAAAAATACTATCTTTAACTTTAACTTTTACATATCCAAATTAATCTTGCTTATCTTTAAAATTCTTCCGAGAACTTAAATACTTATCTCGGTATCTGGAATGTATTTCTAATATCTTTCAAGATTCGATTTCAAGTTTTCAGGTAATTCGGACTTAATAACCCTTATTTCAGGTTTCCATAATTTCCCCGGCTTCATGACTATTATATGTCGATACCTTAATCTTTATACTCATTCATTTCTGAAAAGTACTTTGTAGACTTATTCTTATTCTACAAGTACTAATAACTTATAACTTCATCTTGAACTTTACTTATACTCAACTCATGATATCCAAATGATCAGATATCAAAATTTCTGATTTATAAAGATTGAACATTTTCTTGAAACTTTACTTCTTACGGTTTAAATTTTCAAGCCTACAGGGATCTGATCCGACCTTTTGGTTCTTATTTCAAACCTCCATGATCTTTCCCCGTACTTATTGGCTACTGAAATACCGTTACTTCTTAGCTTAAATCCATCATCAATCTTTATAGTCATTTCTTAACTTGAATCTCATTGTAAATCTTGATAATCATATCATAATTTACATCTCATTCTTATATCTTTAATCTTTTATGATCATATCATAACTTAATTCTCATCTTTACATCTTCATCTTTATGATCATTTCATAACTTGAATCTTATTCTTACATCTTCAATCTTTATGATTATAAATTGAATATTATTCTCATGGCTTAACTTGTAATATTCAATTTCATATTCTTGATCTAGTTAACTTGATAAACTAGATTTCACTTTAATACTTGAACATATATGTACAAATTACTAGAGTTTGCACATCTGATTTCTTATCGAGCATAGACTTAGTAAATTTGAATATATTGAAAAACTTGTATAAAACTTTGAACAGCACTTACCTGGTAGTTGACGAGGTGTGAGCGTGGTGTGGTCGGGTTTTCTTGAAACTTCCTGTAAAAACTTTGTCTTTTCTGAAAACTTTCTCTTTCAGAACTTAAACTTTTAGTATACAGAGCATTTAAAACTCTAGCTCTGATACCACCTGTAACACCCCGCTTATCAGAGTAAATTTTTCGCAACTTTTACTTCGAATATACTTAATTCTTTCAAAATCTTTTTCGACTAACTCGGAATGCTACTCAAACTCATCATCTTGAAAATCCGTTTATCTTTAAACTTTTGTCTAATACTTCTTTAGACATAATTAAAACATATTTCCTTTAAACTTGCATTTTAAAATACCATAATCATATTTCTCATAATGGTAAAAACTTGTATCTAAAAGTCATTAAAATACAAATTCAATACTCAATGTGCATAGCGGAAATACTTAAAAACGTGGTTAATTATACAGACTGTTTTAAATGTCCGTATCAAATATGGATAATCATAAACCGATATCTGATCGGTAACTTAAACTTAAACTTTCATTTCTCTGGCCGATGGTTAATCGGGTACGTGTGCACACTCTGATGGATATTTCTAAGGCCCGTTTCGCCTCCACCAGAACTTAGGATATAATCTTATGAGACAAATTAATGCCTCCTCATCCCAAGCGTAATAAACCTTAACTTCGGGATATAACTTTTGAGACAACTGATGGTCTCCTCATCCCCTATGACATCAATATCGTACTCAACGTGATACCCATTCAGGGTCCCCACCTTTTGTCTTTGAAAGCATTTGAAAAATGATAAGTGCTGTACTGGTACTGTATCTGCAAGTTACATCAAATATAGACAAATATACTAAGTACTATGCTCGTATATTCAATAAGTTCTTTAGGATTATTAACTTATCCCAATTTTCTAGAAATTTCATTAAACTTGCTTTTACTCAAGTTTATACTTAACTTCTCTTTTTACTTAAGGTTAATTACTTAACCTTATATAAATCATATATTCTTAAACATCAATATGTTTCATAACATGTCATAACTCAAATGTGAAAAATAACTATATTTCACATTATACTTGATTAAGTATTTAAACTTAAACATTTCATGCATATTCTTTCACATATATACTTATCTTTACATATATGCTTTCTTATATTCATAACTTATTCATTTCTCATCTTTAAATTATGAAACTTAACAGTCATATTCTTAACTCATATTTAGACATGTCATTAAAATTTCATAATTTTATCATCCATATATCTCAACTTATTCAAGTTTAAAGTTGCTGCAGTTTTTAGAACTCAAAATCAGACAGCGTATAATTTAACATTCTCTATAACTTGCTATTAAAATCATCTAAGGCTGAAATTCGAGCTGGACATTCTAAACTTACACATAAATTAACCAAAAAAAATTTAAAGTAATAGAATATCTATAGATAGGGAATTTCAAGGTCATAAGTCAACAATTCTAGACAGAAATCATTTTCTACAGAGTCTAAATCAATGATTTATATAGAGCTCATTCCACTTCCAAATAATCTGAAATTTCAGATACATATCACTAATATAATCATGACTTCACATAAAAAGTTTCATATTTTTCTGAAATCATTTTCTATAGAAAACTCGATTCAAAATAGACTGTAGATGTATAGATTCGAAATGCTCAATACTTCATCTCATGCTTTCCTCTTTCTACAACTAAGGCATAGCTTGAATACTTTTATATTGATTAAACTTTTGATGCAGCAAAACCCACATAATAAGCAGCATATAATCAAATTCTTATGAATTTATTTAATTATCAAATCAATGAACCTTAAACACATTTAATCTTTCAAAATAAAATCTTGATAACTAAAAGAATATAGAAATATTACCTCCTTCAAAGAATTTTACTAATATGAAGGATGATGTTTCGGTTATATGACATCGAACATGAACTTGGCCTTGGTTCTCGATAAACTCTCGTAAATTGACTTGCATGCTCACGGCTATAGAATACTCTAAAATTTCTGATTTTTTTTTTTATTTTTTTCACCTTAAACCCAAATGAGAAACTTCTGATTTCTCTAGCTAAATGAGGGGTTTTATATAGATGAATTGAGCCGTGTAATACTTCCTAAAAATCTGATGAAATAAGGTGTATAAAAGTTCTCAAATATGATAAGGATTGCTCAGCACACTTTATGGAGAAATCATAAAATAACTAACATGTAGCATAAAAAAATATTATTTTTATAGATCATTTATTTTCCCCATCTATAAAATCACGTATATAAACTCTTAGATGATATAATTGTCTCACCAACTTTGATTTGAATGGAATATAAAAACTTAACTTGTATAATAAAATATATCATTAAGTAGCACATTTATTTCTCCTACACTAGATGACCAACATGGCGTGAATAATGCTGAATAAAAGTCTCCACGGCTGGTTATAGTCTATTTTAATACATCACTTCAAGATACTTATTATATTAAAATTTTTGACTTAAAATAGTAGAAACTTTTATCATGTTGGCTTACTAATCTTCCACTAAATAAGATAAAGTTAACGTGTTGATGGTTGATGAAAAAAAAAATATCTTTCTTCAATTTAATGAACATATTGATTCTTAAGATCTAATATAATTATCTTGTAACATTCTACATTTACGGAACCACATTCGGACTTAAATCGAACGATTACTGTAAAACCGAAAATTCTAACTATTTCGGTTTCTCTTAAAATAATTTAAATAGACTATAATGTCTAAATAATTTTTCTCACTTTTTTTTTATGACTTATACATTTAGAAAAATTCTAAGTATTTAATACTAAGGCTCGGCTATTTCTTAATTATGTTCAACTCATGACCGAACACTTGGGCTCAATTCACTACGTATCTTAAACGATTAATCAAAATACACTCAATTTCTATTATTCATCATCTTATATAAATTAATTTCATCTTATAAATCCATTTATAAAAATAAACAGACCGGAATTAATTAATTACTGAACTGGCTCGATTACTGAATAAAATTTAACAAGGAATATTTTTAACTTAAAGTTGAACTTTTAACTGAATAACTTAATAACTGGGCTCGAAACTAGGAACGAGCATTATTAATAAAAGTAATTAGTTCAAACTTAGAACTAAAATAATTACTTTTATTAATTACTGAATGGGATATTACAGGCTCTACATCTATGCCCTCCGGTCCTACACATCGAATCGCCCCACGGGCTTCCATCGATGCCCAGTCAGTAGATGTAACTTGTCGGCCAAGGCCTCACCTTGGTCTTACCAATGGGGTTGTCCAGCACAAGGACCTTTAACTTGGTCTTACGACTCAAAAAGGAGACTACCCTACGGGTACCTTCTATAGCTACGGGGATAACCGTTCGACGGCCGGTACAGCTCACATCAAAGGTTACATGGTTCACATGCATACATTGATCATACTATAATTAAAACAGTAATAACATTTACAGCATAGACGATTTTAGAATAACAACCCACCTGGTTACCGAAGTGGTAGATAAGCACAAAAATTTGATAGGAAGGCGAGCTCGACTCGTCAACCACCTACATTAATAAATAAAATAGTCCTATCAACAACTATTCAAACACTTGAAAACACATTCAACACATTCACTTAGTCGAAACATTATCAACTAAGTGATTCGTGGAACTCCTAATTGGAGTCTGAAACCTCCGGATTTTAAAGAAACATAATTAACACAAACAAACCTCTAAGTTCACTAATCACCAATTAACACACCAATTTGCCGAAATTCACAAGATCCAAGCTTTACCAAACACAAATAAAAACCCAACAAATATCACCAAATTTTATTCAGTAATTCACGGTTACACAAACTTTTCAAACATTCTCATATAATAACCTTTTTCATAATACCATTATAAAAATCAAGAATGAAATGCACCAATTACAGCAGCCCTGTTAATAGTCTTATGGTTCCATAAAATTACCATTTGATTGAATTTAGCATAAACATGGTGGTTTATCACATCAGAGAAACAATTAGAAGATTTCACCCACAAATAAATCTTGAAATGTCTATCTCGATTCAAATAGAATAATCAATTATCTGGCATTCCATTGCCATTTCAAAGAGGTTACAAAACCTTTAGCAGGAATTGTAATATTGTCACAATCCAGATACAGTAATCATTTCCATCACAATTTGTAATTACTTGTACTGAATTAATTAGCCACAAAACCAAGCAAACAGTAAGCAGTTGAAATCGAACATAAACAAGGCATGGAAATCGAACTATAACCTCTGTAATATAGTTATTTGCAGCAGATAATATTCATAATAAACATAGAGCTTAACAAGGCAAAACCCCAACTCAAGAATTAAACATGATGCCTCTCTTATACTCTCCAATTTAAACCAATCACCCAGCATATAACATCACAGAAGCACATACGAATTTCAAGAATATCCAAAATCACAAATTTCGACATACACACACACACACAC